TACGATTCCCAAGTCACAGAGGCACGAACCTCATCATTATTAAAGAAACTCATAAGATCCTTCCTATTGGTTCCATTTTGTGTCTTCTACGATTTACTCTTTTTTTTAGAATATTAGAACTCAAACTTTCTTTGCAGTCACGTCAAATTAGATTAACTAAATTAATAAACTACAACTTTTTATACATAAATAATTGTTAACTTTCTTTATTGTATCGAAACGCGGACTCTTAGACAGTATACTTCCTGATACTTTCACTTTCGTTGTAAGACCAATTTACTTCGTAGTAAGTTTTAGCACATCAATATTCCAAATAGGGTTGACATTTATCAAATAATCAATGATTACCACACTTAACTCCATATATATAAGACATCAATACAAGATTCTTCATTTCTGCGTTGAATTTTTCTTCATTTGATTGGTTAATCGTTTGAAATGAGCATCAAAACCTTTAGTTCATGCATTTTTCACCAGCATAAGAGAGGGAGACGTGGGAAAAAGTAGGGGCTAAGCCTAAATCAATCCACGTTAACATTTGGTAACTCCTAAAAATTTTCAATCTAAAATAGATTTTTATGCCATAGTTATGGACTCTCATCTTTTCATCAAATTGATCATTATGCATGATAAATAATAGTATGATAAGTGTTTTTATTTAAGAAATAATGTTTAAAGATAAAGAAGTTCATAAAAATTCTTATTGTATATATATATATATATGTATTATATATATGACAATTAGTCAACAGTAAAAGCTTTGTTTGTCAAATTTTGATAATATATTTTTTTATTATTTGGAGTGAGGAAAAATATTTACATAATGGCAAAAATCTCATTTTATTTGTGTTACTAAATGGAATACCTTGAAAGGATACATATACATAAATATCTATGTATTGATTGGGCTTTTGAGTAAAGAAATTAAAGCGTGATGGATTTGTAATTGTGGCGATTAAATGAGTATTGGGAATTTAAGTGCACTCAGAAGCAAACTCTTAAGAATATGTAATCGCGCTCATGGCCGCCACGTCAATTCTTCTTCTTCAGCTCTTCTCCAATAATATCAACAAGCTGCGGAATATCAGCCACGTGGCTTTAAATTATACATACACATGAGTACCGTTATCATGATATGTTGGAAATGGGAAATTTTCTGGAAGGATCAACATTGATAGATGAGGCATTTTTTAAACTTGAAAGATATGTATTTAATGATTAATCAATTTATCTGTATATAATAATGTGTCTTAACCTCTTTTTAACTGCATAAAAGCAAAGTTATTTATCATACCCTAAACTAACCTTCATGCATTTCATATTTATTTAATTTATGCATGTATAATGTTTTTTTTTTTTGTTTCTTAACAAGCATAAATTAATTGTTGAAACTTATACTCATAAAGGAATTTTAATTTATCATCAGTTGACTTCCTGATACGCGATCAAATTTGGGATCATCAAGGATACTATGAATAATTATAATTATAACTAATACTATTTTAATCGACTCGATTGGTAACAATACTCTTCTCTTAATGTATTTTGTTTTCGTCATATGTGATATAATTAAATTGTCTACATTAAAGATTTTTTTGTTTAATTATGTTCAATTATGCATTTAATCAATTGTGTTCGACTATCATTACATATTAGCAACATAATTAGAATTGTTATCAATAAGTCTTATTATTGATACTTATTTTCCTAGGGAAGCCTAGGGTTAATGCAATATGTGGAGAGGGTATCTCACACTCTCTTGCTTCATGTCAATTACAATTGAATCGTGGTAGGCGATATAAAAGTAAAATATAAGGTCTCACTTTTCTGTTTTAAGTTTATCATGATTCCTCTCTCATTGTGATCAACACTACTAAGGATGGACAATTGGTTTTCTAGGATTACCCATCTAACAAACGTATGATGGCACATTTAGGAAAACAAAATATAACCAAGTCCAAGAGTAAAGTGTGAACAGTGATTGAGCATGGTCATGTCATGCATGGACACTTGTCAATTTCAACTCCTCATTCGCTTACTCCTACCTTGTAATGTCATTTATGAGTTTGCATATAGTCTAGGATATTCTCTTAGGATAGATAATTTAGACACACCTATGCTACATCTAACGAGCTCCATCCAAGCACTTTAGGGTGTTAATTTACTCTTAACCCTTCTTCTACATGTGCGGTCTTTCCAGTTACACATGAAATTACGTGGTTAGACACACCTATGCAAGGCATTGTCGAGCAAATGCAAGCCCATGGGTTGCATGCATGCGAGCGGCCATAACTAGTGGACCACTTGTGCGAAGTTTCATTTTCTTACTTTTTTGCTCCAAATTCATCCATTTTTCTTTTCCAAGTGTCTTAAGAAATGTAATATGCACAAACAATCAAAAAAACATTTCTCAAGCATAATATCATGATAAATAAGACAATTAGGTAAAATTTCATTTGGTGGTTTGGGTATCTTTTTAAAATT